TGATTTGATCGCATAGCTATCGATATCCGATCAACGTGATTTTTTATAAGTACATAATACTCGACGAGTTCTACACATTGACGGTTCAGATTTTTAAAACGAGACCCGTGATAGGCCCCCACGGGCCCAACAGCACGGTCCAGTCCGATGGGGGACTGGACCAAAGCCAGACCCATAATTTAACACTTTGGAATGGCACAACAATGGATAATTTAATTCAGTATTAGAATAGGTCTAGTCTTCAGGACGAATAGGAAAAAAAATATTTGCTTCATTATAACAATAATTCCCTTCTATGAAATGAAAAGTTTTTTAAGAATTGTTTTTGTCAATCTTGACTGTTCAAGGAAAATGCTATTTGTTTCATAAGATTCAGAATTAACTTCTATGAAAAGTTTTATAAGAATTGTCTATCTTAATTAACAAACCAATAGTGTCAGAATTAGAATAAGTCTAATCTAGTGAACAAATCAATATATTGTCAAAATAAAATGAAGTTTAAAAACTATCATTTGCAACTCAAATTTTAGATTGCAAATATATTCGATGCAAAAAATAAATAAATATTTGCGACAGTATAAAAGCATATTAACACTAGAAGTAGAGAATAAATATTAGCTCAACCTTCCTCATCACACACCTGCATAGCAGCACACCCACAAGCTAAGAAGAAATAGAAATTCTATTATAACAACGAAATCGAAGAGGATATTTCTATATATATATTATGATAAAACTTCATATAATGTTTTCAGCAAATATTTCTTCATATACAAAAGTTTTGAGGATCCTAGTAATTAGTAAAGACTGGTCATCCACACTTAAGGAAGATGATTTTATATACTTAATAGTAATTTCCTAAATTCAAATCCTATGTTTCCCTAGCAATGTCATTTAGATTGCTAATACTGTCACCATCTTGAACTCAAAAATCATTCAAGTCATTTGTCTATCTTGCACTTAGGGTTGTGACTGTGAGCCCATTGGCACTTCCAGATATTTGTCTACTGTAGGAACCAAACCTCATGGAAGAATAACCTAAATAGAAACCGGGTTCCATTTGTGTCTTCTATTCTATGCTTTGGCTGCTAAGCATAATAAGCACAGTCGACATTGTTGGCCTCACCTCATAGCGATGTTGCGCGCATAACAACCCCACTTGGATGCATCTCAGAATTTCAGTTTCGGAGATCGAGTCATCTTCCAATACAGGATCCACAACTTCCAAGGCCCTCCCATCCCTCCACAGCTTCCATACCTAAAACCAATTTCAAGTTTCATAAAGAAAATAAAATAAGATTAATTATAATTATTATTATTATTGTTTTTTTTTTTTTTTTTTGTGTAAACTTACATGTCCCAAAAGGTTCAAATCATGGTCAGGGTGTAGAAATCCCCAATTCCTCACGCCACTTATTGTCTCTAACACCAAAACGCCAAAGCTAAAAACATCTAACTTGGTTGAAATTTGGTTGTGCAAGACATACTCTGGAGCCATGTAACCACTGCATTGCCAATACGAGAATATTGAAATTTCTAATCAAGAAATATTTGTTTCAATACATGACATGAGTACTTACTGTGTTCCATTAACCCTCACAGATGGTTCCTCTAACATATTTTCTCCTTCTAAAATTTTTGCTAGACCAAAATCTGATATTTTGGGCATCATCTCACTGTCCAATAAGATATTGCTTGCTTTGAGATCTCGATGGACTACTCTCAACCTCGAATCATTATGTAGATAAACCAAACCCTTGGCAACATCAATAATAATGTTGAAGCGCTTGGCCCAAGGTAATAGTCTTTTTCTTGCTTCATCTGGATATGATAGAATCCAAATTTTCAATGTATTTCCATTTTTTTTTCTTTTTTCAAATATAAATGAAACTCATCAAAACCCATTAAAGAAACATAATAAATGTTAAATGGCCATACCGAATATGAATTTATTCAAGCTTTCATTTGGTAAATACTCATAGACAAGCATTCTTTCATCTTCATGAACACATCCTCCAAAGAGTTTAACAAGATTTCGGTGTTGAAGTCTTGCAATCAAACTAGCTTCATTTCCAAACTCTTCAAGGCCTTGTTGAGAATTCCTAGAGAGCCTCTTTACTGCAACGAGTTGTCCAGAAGGTAATTCTCCCTACAAATTATCAGGCAGAATATCAACAATAGCGAATAATTATGGGCTTGTTTTCTTTATTTTTTATTTTTGCTTCAAAATATCTACATTAAAAATAAAAAATAAAAATACCTTAAATACAGGACCAAATCCACCTTCTCCAATCTTATTATCACTAGCAAAGTTATTTGTAGCAGTAGAAATAAGGTCTATGTCAAAAAGTTTGAATTCTGGGTTTTCCTCTTGAGTCCCATTGGAATCTCTTGATGAATTGCTTTCATGTTCAATTGTCAAAGAGGAAATCAATAAGAAAATAAGAAAGAGTCAATATAATAGTCAGCTTTATAAAGAAATTTTTTATGAATTCCTTCATGAAGAATAGTAGTCAATCTTTTATCAAGTAGGGTACCCTAAATTTTGAATTCTTATATCAATGAATTGGTGATTACTCAATATATCAATAATATTCCATAAATATGCTATAGTTCATAAATGGAAGGTGATGCAATGAATGCATGCAAATTACAATGCAATGTGCACTGGGATGGAAAAGATACGATGGATAAGGCACGCAGGCCAAACCAAATTTTTGCCTAGGAAGGGCATGTACACGTACAAGCCGCGTCTAACATAGAACGGTCCACTGAACCATGCTTCGACACGAGAAGTATGGGCAAGCTCAATCATGGAAAGGCGCGAGCCATAGATGGAAGTGATGCAGTGAATGCATGCAAGCTACAATGCAATAAACACTATATTACAATGATGCATGACAATGCAACTATTTACGATGGTACATGACAATGCAACTATTTACAATGATGCATGACAATGCAATTATATTTTTTTGTTTGTTTTTTGAAATGTAAATGATGCATGAATGATTTCAAAGCGCGCGACAACGCGCGGCTTTTAAGATGCACGTGAACTTGAATATGCGACGACGCGAGTCGCTTGAAATACATGTATAATGCAACTTATCAAAAGTCGTTCGGGCACGACAAACATCGAAGGACTTGCACCTTCAGAGGATTTAGGGTCTCCTAGACCGTAGTATGTACAGGACGGTGTGATGCGCAAAATAGCGCGATTGAATGCATGCAAAATGCAATGAGATGCGCAAAACAGCGCGATGCGTTAGACAACGCGAGTGCACAAGACAGCGTGATGCACAAGATAGCGCGATGGAATGTATGCAAAATGCAATGAGATGCGCAAAACAGTGCGATGCGTTAGACAACGCGAGTGCACAAGACAGCGCGATGTGCAAGATAGCGCGATGGAATGCATGCAAAATGCAATGAGATGCGTAAGATAGCGCGATACGTTAGACAACGCGAGTGCACAAGACAGTGCAATTGATTTGAAATGCACAAGACAGTGCGATTGATTTGAAATGCACATGGGGCAACTTTTGAGTTTTGTAAAAGCCAAAAGGATACGGAAAGGCTACACCTTGCACGAATTCGAGTGCCACACACAGAAGACATGATCCGAGGTCAAAACGGAGGTCGGTTGAGCGTCGGAGATGCACTATTTTGCACTGTTTTGAGCACTAAAGGCCTTGGACCCCACACATAACTCAAACAAGGGTGTAGGAGGCTCCAAAACCACTGTAGGAGACCACTGGATGTCCACCAGCCATCAGAATGCATCACCGGCCATCCATCAGCCATCATACAATTTCCATCGGCAAACTATTTTGCCGACCGGCAAAGAGTGTGGCCGACCGGCAAAAAGTCCGTGTATCGGGGCAATTTTGGCATTTCGATACGGGCCTTTTAAAATAGGGCTTCTAGCCCTATTTTCTTTACTTCTCCTTGCTCGAAATCTTCTCCTCTCTCTCTCTAAAATATTTTTCGAGCCTTATTTCCTCATTTTCCTTGGTTTTTGGCTCCGTTTCGTCATTCGATTCGCGTTCACCCTTGCATTTCGAACGTTTTGAACCGATTGAAATTTCATTTCGGTGTTGTTTTTTCGATTTCCACCACTCGGGGCTTGTTTCCCTCGAGTTTTTCTCGATATCTATGCCCTTTCCACACTTCGACTTTTCCAGCCTTTTCCGGGCACTTCGGCTTTTTCGGCCTTTTCCGGCCCTCTCGGGGTTGACTTTTTGTTGACTCTTCACATTCTCGCCCGGTTTTTCGTCTTCTGTCCATTTTCACATTCTCTTCGAGATGGCGGATGATCTTCCACAGGGCGGGACCCCTCCAGAGCTTGAGATGGATCTCGAGGCCGACCCTTTGCCACTTCATATCCGGCCGTTCGATCCGGAGACCTACAGGCCTGCGGTTCATGTGATGCTCCCCGATGGACTACGCCAGTTCCGGAGCTTCGAGAGGGGCGTGGCACCCGAGCTTCTCCTACGTGAGCCTACCTCTCATCTGTCCTTTGGCGCTTCCGAGGTAACATTCTTTCCTCTGCTTCACTTTTTGCAATGTAGAACATAATTGCCATTAGTTGATTCTGTTCTCTAACTGTTTAGCCCGGATGCACCGATACACTGTACACTGTAGTTGATTGTAAACAAACTTACAACCGATATCTGTTTGAAACTTACATGTGCACACACACTGCACTGACCCTGAATCACCCAAACACACGGCGCACACTGTACTTCACTGCATGCACACTGGTACCCGGTATCTGCTTGAGTCTGAAAACATGCACACATGCTGTTTTTGCCCTGAACCACTCAAACACGCTGACACATCACACGTTGTAGTTCACTGTAAGTACACCGGCACCCGATGTCTGTTTGAATTTGAAAACATGCACACATGCTGTATACCTGTATACGGCTTCTAAACTTTAACTGCGTTTTTGAAATATTCTGAAATTGTTTGTTTTTTTGGATTACAAGGGATTCCCATACCATTCCCGGTGTATGGGAAGTCGTTTGCCCTTCGGATTGGTTCTAGGCCTGCCAGAGCGCGGTTCGTCTATCGGTCGACGAGGCCTGGTTTCGACATCTTTTTGCGGGGGCTCTCCCGGCCTTAATGACCTGCGGCCTTTGTTTGCCGCTCTTAAGTGGAGAGGTGGGTGGGAATAAGCCACAACTTCCTTCCCTACTTTCTCCGTTGCGGGGGCACATGACGATGACCCCTTAATGATTTCTTGATGCTCATTTCGCATCGGGTAGGGGCTTGATTCTTGATCCCTTCGACACCGATATGGGAATGGAGTGGGACGCTACCCCAGCTACTGCTTGGCACTCAACCTTCCCCGTTCGCTCTGATGCAGGGTTTTGTCAGGTAACACTTGGTTCGAGAGCCATTTTCCTGGATTCAGCCAGCCTTTTGGCGTGGGGCTTCAAATCATGTTCCTCTCGGGACGACATCCTTTTTTCGCTGACGAGCGAACACCGTGCCTCTTGTCTGTTTGACGCATGGTGGAAGTTCAAGGCGGATTCCACCGTTAATGAACTGGGGTGCCACACGGGCCTTGGCCACATTGTAAAACTGGGTTACATGAGCTTTTCTTCCCGCCTCAGCGGACCGCTTCTCGACGGCTAACTGGCGAAGCTTTGGGAAGGTACATCTTCCTTTCCCCTTTTTACATTTTCCTTGCTTTCACGTTTTCTTGTATTCTGTACACATGCAACCACCACGGTCCTTGCCCCTCTCATGACTATATACTGCGCACATGCAGCACAACATATACTCTGTTTTTAACTTTGACTGTAAACTGCACAAAACACTTTTGGTTTTAAAATACTCTGTACAATACACTGCACAACACACGGCTCTGGCATTTTCTGCTTTATTCTTGTATTTTTGCTTTTTCTGGAATAGTCCAATACTTTATATCTTTCTGGGCAGTTGTGGGTGTATGCCTACTTTCCCAGGCTTGCCCCCCCAGTACCTGATTGTTGGAACCTCCACTGGCGTTCCCCTTTCTGTCCATCCTTGATTGTGGCGATGTGTGCGGAGACCACGGGAGGTCCTTTTTATTTTCTTCCGCGCTACTTCGACAGCCTATCACTTGCGCGGAGGTATGTCAACTTTAGAAATCTTGTTGCCTTTTCGCTGCAACTGTATGTTTTGAATACCTAACAGATAGATTAAACAAACGCTATTACCAGATCACCTGGCAGCCTGGTCTGTTGCCGCCGTGGTGAAGGGGATCCACTACGAGGGCCCGCAGGGGGAGAACTGCCCGTTGCTAGATCCTGTTGGAGGGCCGGTCTGTCGGTGTGGTCCTGGGGCGAGGCCATTTTCTTGGTCAGACCTGTTTTTTTTTACTGGAGCAAGATAGTTTCCAGGTTCTCTTTTTGCCCATATGGAAGATATCGAGAGGTTCAGCCCCCAGGAGATGAGAACCGATTACACGATCGGCTGGGAACGCGGCGTGACTTCAGGGGTTGAGGGCGACTTTCAAGAGTACATGATGACCTCATTTGCGGCCTCTGAGCGGTGGCCCGGCCACGAGCTGAAGAGAGGCAGGGAACCCCTGCGGGCACCAGTAGCTGGAGCAGGAGCTTGGGGTGAGGGACTCGAGGACGGCTGTGTCCGTGGGCAGAGGCGGGCTCGAAGGGTTCAGGGGGTTTAGTGGCCAGCGCTTACCGTATGACAGCCGGGGGGGTGGCCGCGCGTTACTAAGATTTCTTTGCTCCTCCCTCCGCTGATAATGAGTTTGGTCGGTTCTTTGAAACTCCTCCGGTAGTATAACTTTCAATCTTTGCCATCTTGGCATTGTCCATTTTTATTTCAGTTTATTTTGATATTTCCAGAATACTGAATGCTTTGAATATTTTGCAGGCTCCTCCGAGTACAATAACCCGGCAGTCCCCTCTGGGAGTTGAATGCCTCATGTGGAGGTGCTGGGAACTTCGACCTCCCTGGCTCTATAGTATTCGGTATGTTTCTTTCTGATCACGCCTCAAACCAATACTCGTACTGCTTCACTATAATTGGTTGCACGAACACAAGACACTGATAAGCTGCTCATGTTACAAATTCATAACCTGTACTCATACTACTTGCATTTCTGCACTGAATTTAAATCTGCTCACGGCAATTTGACACCTGTTACTCATACACTTGGCATTCTGCACCGATTAAACTGTCCACCCGGCATTTGCACAGCTGTTTCACTGCATTCGCCGATAAACTGCTCACCGGCATTCACACCTTGTAATCATAACACTGCATTCTGCACTTGATAACTGCTCACGGCAAATTCATACAACTGTACTCATACCACTTGCATTCCTGCACTGATACACCTGCTTCACAGTATTCTGATATATTTTGCTTTTTGTGCTTTTCAGCCTTCCCTTACCAGATTTCCCCGGTGGGTGCACTCGCTGGGCCCTCTATTCTCTGCCTCGAAGGACGGCGTGGCAGAATGCTGTACGTCCCCCGTACCTAGGGCGGGGCGTGTTTCTCGTCGGGAGGTAGCTCTCGAGCGCCGACCTCCTGATGATGACGTGAATGATTGAATGATGAGTTTCGGGGCAGAGGTAAGAAGGGGGCCCCCCAGAGGCCGTTCATCTGAAGGAGGCTTGGAGACACTCAGACTACGCGCTCAGATGGGATGCTGAATTGATGATGCCCGCTGGACCTTCCGTCCAAGAAGAGGGCGAGGACAAGATCCCAAGGCCCGAGACTACTGATTAATGATTCCAGTTGCTGTTTTCTTTTTTTCTCGTTACTCTTTTTTTTTTTTCCTTTTTTCTTCCCTTCTCTTTGCTGGTAGTTTGATTTCCTTGTAAACTTGCCACAAGGCAGATTTTTTGTTTCCAAAGCCTATGTACTTGAAAAAGATAAATGAAATAACAACCTTTGCTTAAAAAGTGTTTTTACATTTACATATGCTCATGTATTGCATCGGATACATCATGTTACATTCAATGGTGAAATGGAATTTGAACCTTGTTTGTCCTAAAAAATGAGCCATTTTTGTACTGTAAATGAACAGATAACCAAACGGCCCTCATATGCAAACAAGCCCAAGCCAACACATTGCTCAATACGAATGCATAAGCCCATTCTTCTGTTGGGGAATTGTCTGCAATAAGCCCTAACACCACACTCGGTTTCATTTGGCCACAAGCCAATCCTGAACAAAACGGCCCCAATCTGACAGACGGAACACAAAAGATGGACCAGTTTGAAGTTGAAGGCACGCTCAGATTGCCCGCCGAATTTTTTCTTTTTCTTTTGCTTCGCACAGATGTAGAGATGGCCACGCAACTCTGAGCATAACGATTTTTCGAAATAAAGGATTTTCAAACCGGGGTTCGGGCCCTTATAACTGAAGCACAGCGAAGAAGGAAAACTCAAACAAAAGGGTAACACAACCCTAAACACAACGGACACGCTCGGGAAAGACCCAAAACAAAAGCCTGAGGTGAACAAAACGAAAGACAACGACCAGCGGACAAATGTTTCAAAACGAAAGACCTCAATCTCGAGCCAGTTCCTCCGGGGTAATTATTTCCCACTTCTGATTGTGATTCTCACATCACTCGGCCCTCAAGGCTTCGTTTTTTTTTTTCTCAAAACCCTTTTGCTTCACTTTTTTCCTCTCATACAAACTTCTTTCCTTTATTCTCTTCATTTTTATCCCCTCCCAAATTTTAATGGATGAATAGGAAAGTCGTGGGGTTTTTCACCGCCCGAACATGGTTAGCTCAAGGCTTGTTTCTTCCGGTTGGTGCTTTGGTCGATGCGCGGGTAAAAGGGAAAGAGTCCTGATCCCTTCGGATTCGTGCTTCGACTTGTTCGTACTCGTTGCTGCGGAAGGTTTTGAGAGAGCTTTTCAAGCCCTTTTTAATGACCAGCTTTTAAGTTGTGCCCCTTCTTGCAAGTAATGCTGGCGATGGGGGAAAAGAACAGGAAAGAGCCTGACTCATCGTGTGCCCATAGTTCATCATTTTTGAACCATTTTTTGTTTTGGTTTTCAACTAAAACAATTTGACAAGATGAGATCGGATTAAACGTACTTGTTTCGATTTTTGTTTGAAATCAGAAGTTAGACACTATGAGCACTTGAAAATTTTTCCTTTTTGGTCCAAGAAAAATGGTCCCAGTTTTTGGAAAATGAATAAATTTTTCGAGAAAATGGTCCAACTTAGTAAAAATTCTCAAAAACTATTTTTGTAAAGGCCCGCCCGTCCAACGAGCGCGGAAACTCATTCTCGAGGTGGCACAACCCGGATCGGAGGCAAAAATGAAAAATTGCCGGCTTGGAAAGGGGTGGATGCAACGGAAAGTTTTGCCCTGGTTTGGGAGAATGGCGGACATCAATGGCAACGGAAAGTTTGCCCTTGTCTGGATGATGCCCGCAAGCATATTGTAAACAGTCCTTAACCAGTGATGATCACGGACCGAACTTTCTCGGGATAACAGAGAAGACGAAGACGGTCAAACCAATAATGGACACAGTCCAACCTTGAAAGGTGTTTAAGGGCTGGACTTCGGGAATGAAGTTGCCTATTGTATCCAGTTTGT